TCCATGGTCTCCATAGTCTCCATGGTCTCCATAGTCTCCATGGTCTGAGGGTCTCCATGGTCTCCATGGTCCATAGTATTGCTGTAGTTTGTGTCAGCATGTCGCCCGCTGACGTTCATGCCAGAGTTTCGGATCATCTGATGATGAGAAACAATGGAGTTTCATTTTGGTCAAAGCTTGTAAATAAAATAAATTATTGTGAGATCTGTTGAGATGTGACAGTGATCAAGAAAATGTATGACTCACAACAACCACCACACCAAGTTTTAGCTCAGTGTTTGTTAAAGTTGGTCATGTTTATGTTGGGTAAGATAGCTGTGGCAGCCATCTTTAATTGGGGAGGCTCCAAAAGTTAATCACTTCTTGACAAACATCTAATGAGCACTTTACAAGAGCTTCAGTAAAACCCATCTGGTGATTCAGATATTTTGCTAACACACATTAGATAAATGTCAGTAAGTGTTTATTTAACAGTGTCCTGAATAAATCTTTATTATTTTAATGTTACTCAGAGATTTTTGATGGTTTGACCTTAGAGCCAAAGGTCATGATGTGTTTGTGTGTTTCTGTCAGTCTTCCATCCGGTGGAATGTTCTTACTGCCGGAGTGAAAGCATGATGGGGTTCCGCTATCGCTGCCAGCAGTGCCACGGCTACCAGCTCTGCCAGAGCTGCTTCTGGCGTGGCCATGCCAACGGTCCCCATAGCAACCAGCACCAGATGAAAGAGCATTCATCCTGGGTAGGAGACACACACACACACACACACACACACGCACACACACACACACACACACACACACACACACACACACACACACACAGATGGAGATCAGCTGTCGGCTTCATTAAATTTTCTTGAAGAACAGTCCAGGAGTAATTTCCTCCTCCTGCTGAGCAGGAAACTGGACTGATTGAACTGTTCTTCAGGCTCCGCCCCCAAAGCTCCATCATTATCTCATAAATTGAAACAAGGCGGTGAAATGCTCGTTCCTCTTTGCCTTTTGGCAGCTGGTGATAAAAATGAACGTAGCCAGACTAAGTGCACGGCTGCCTCTGGATTCAGGTGTTCCCGAGATAACGATGTGCTCAAGAATTAACAGTCATGGTCTTTGTGACATTTATTATACAAAATGAAGAAAAGAGACAAAATCAACAATGATGCAACTGCAGTCTGCACTTTTATTGGCTTAATGACTGTTTTACACACAAAATGTTTCTAACAAACAAAAGTAACGATGTAGTTTATGAATGAAGTCCAGGTTTTAATTATTATTATTATTTCTGGGGTCGTATATTAAAGAACAGCTGAGGTCGTTCTCTCTCAGGACCTTTTTGTTCTTGCTCAAGATGAAGATGAAGTCAAACTCAAAGCAGTCTGCTCCTCAGATAAATAATGTTATTAACTTACTTTTTATATATTTCTGTTCAGTGCCCTGAGATGACTTCTGCTGTGACTTGGTGCTGTAGAAATAAACTGAACTGAATGAATTGTGACAATAATGTAATTTATTGCTCAGCACGCCCCCTGCTGGCTGATAGACAGAGTGCAGGTTTAATAACGTCATTTTCTACAGCAGCTTGGTTTCTTTAGGGTCTCTTTGGGGCTGGTGGGGACTGTTGGACAGGAGGTGGGTCCAGCCTCAGTACAGAACATTACTTTTATTTTCCTGTTTTCATTAAATGCCAGCTGTTTAAATTCAACAGTAACTTTACGGCGATGAAACTTTTCAGCTTCTTCAGCAGCTTTCACCAAAAATCATTCCACAATAAAACACAGCATTTTCTCAGGAAATGACATTTGTCTGGTTGTTGTTAAAACCGTATCTTGTTCTCGTGAGTTACGTGCCTCGGTCCACCCCTGCTCACCACAACAAACACCGAGCGCAGAGTTGTGCACGGGCCTTTTGCAGCGTCCTAAGCTTGTTTCAGCTCTGACTGCACGAAGACAACAACGGACACAACAGCTGAGGTTACAGACACTGTCTCCTGCTCTCTCCTCACAGAAGTCTCCAGCCAAGAAGCTGAGCCACGCCATCAGTAAATCTTTGGGCTGCGTCCCCATCGGAGAGTCCCCCCATCCTGTGTTCCCTGAGCAGGCCGAGAGACCTCAGGAGCTCGCCCACACCGTGTAAGTGCATTACTTCCTGCTGCACGGTGGCTTGCTGGTTAAAAGAGCAGCACCACCATGCTCCTGCTGTGCTCCTGGCATGATCTGCTTCCATTCTGTGCTCACATGACTGATGGTGCCGTCTGTGTTTGTTGATGTGGAAATGTGAAACACCGCATCGTCATCAGTCGTCGGGGGGGTGAAGCTGGGATGATGCTATAAATCTGACGGTCCAGGCTTCCAGGCTCCTGGAAGTCATTACAGGAGATGCATTAAATTCTGCCGCTGCCCGAAACGCTGCGCATCATTTACATTTTCAGCTGAGGAATCTCCATAATCAGATCCACCGCTGAGCTTCATCCTCTCTTCAACCATTTGGTTTCCATAAAAATATTGATCACGTATCGTTTCCGATTTAAATTAGAGCGTTCCTTAAAGGAAGGCATTTAACTTTGGAACTTTATCACGTTATGATGATGCGATGTGAGAGCTCACATGGTCCGTCAGCACTTGGAGGACAGGTTATGCATTACTGTCAGCTACTACCACACCAACCTGTGGCTCAGTATCTGTATGAGTTATATTTGTGTTTTCTAAGATCTGGGGCAAACATTTTGAGATGAGTTGGCTCAAAGACTTGTCCAGATGTAGACGTACGTCCACAAAACTGTTTTTACTAAATTTCAGCAAAGTCTGCACAGATGAGGTTGGCACAAGCAAAACTCATTACTACTGCACCTTTGCCTTTGTCAGCAGTTAATAAAAGTCATTAAGCGTTCGGCGTTAACGAGATCAGATGAAATGTTCAACGTTTCATGCTCTTGTGGTTCTGAGGTTCTTTCTACGACGGCCTCCCGCTCCAGTCACAGCCGTAAACCTGACTCTTTATCTTGTTGAGCTGCAGGCGGTAACTGATGCTGCACATTAACAGAGTCAGCCAAGAAGATACGACGCTGCAAACAGGACTTCCTGTTTTTTGTCCCTCGTCGTGGAGCGAGAAGGTGGACGAGGGACAGTTGGACACTCCCTCTGCCTGTCCACCCATCCTCCTGTCTGTGCACGCTGTGAGTGTGATTACGTGAAAAATGATCAACGCACTGCCTTCCATTTGATGTTTGGCTGCATCGAGGTGTCAGAAAGGCCTCTTTCAAAATGAGTTGCCACAACAAAATCCAAGATGGCCCCCACCGTTTGAGGAGACTATGCTTTCAGAACAGTTTACTCAAAGGATTGGGGGGCTGGCCAAGGCCACCATTGGCCACCCCCTGGCTCCGCCACTGAGCTTGGTTGTTCTGCTCTGCAGGATCCGTCTCTCTGCGCTGCCTGGAACAAACAAAAACAAGAACAACAAACAAAAACAACAACAAATAAACCACCTCTGCTCTGCCACAGAGTGTAACTCCGCCCCTCTTGAACGTCCTGCACCAAAAACATCAAGGTCTTCTTACATTTCTATTTCTAGTCCAAAAAACAAAACGCTCATCTTGAAAACTACAACAGTTCTCTTTTCAAAGCCCTCAGCATCGGACGGACGGCTTCTGTGACCTGCTTGTGTCGCTTCATCACCCGCTGCTGAGGGCGATAATGTTTTTGTCTGTTAGTAAAATATCAACACCAAACAAACAGTGGACGTATTCTAAAGAAGCTCTCGATTAAGATGGCTGCCACAGCTAAGTAAACTTTGAAAATATGAAAATGGCTTTAATTCAGACGGAGCTTGAATGTGTGTGGTAGTAGCCGACAGTCACCCCAACACAAGCTCCAAGCCAGGGCTTTTCAACTGGTGGCCCGGGGGCCACATCCGGCCCAAAGATGAGCTCCGTTCGGTCCATCATTGTGTTCATGTTTAAACCAAACTGGATTTTAAACCATAAAACAAACTTAATGACAGTAAGTGCTGGTTGAGTCGAAGACACCTGCCTCCACCCTCATTTGCCCCACTCTGTGCCCTTGAGCAAGGCCTTTAACACGCACCATCTGCTCCCAAACAGGTCTCTGTTGAAAACGAGTCCTCGTGACTCAATGAGACTACCTGGATAAATAAATGATAAATAAAACATGTTCTCTCCGCACTGTGTGGATTTTCTCCAGTTTCCTCTCACAGACCAGTAACATGCATGTTACACTGACTGGTAACTCTAATTGTCCCAAAGAGAGAGAGATCTTTTGTCTCGTTTGTGTCCATGTGTCGAGTTCTTCCTCATGATGACATGTTAAGACCGACGGTCGTAGGTGAGCGTGTGGGCGATGATGAAACGTGGACGTGGCAGCTGAACTTCCTCCTTTTCTAATTCTATTGTTGATTTTTATCAGAAAGTCTCAGCCTTTATTTCTGACGCTGTAAGAAAGTTTAGGTTTGTACGTCATGGAGCAACACTTCTCATATAAAATGTTTTTAAAGAAAACAAATGCTAAGTTGGCACTTTTTATTAGAAGTACCTGTGACATGCTTCTCCCTGGTCAGTCTTGTCTTTCCAGCTGTTTTCTGTAAAGAGACGTAGCGAAACGTTGAGTTTAGTTTCCTCCTCTCCGCTGCTTCAGTAACTTTTGAAGCAGCAGCTCCACAGACAGTTTGATGCTGAGCGAACACTTGGGATGGTAGTAACTGAGTTCATTAGACATCTCTGCTCAAAACCTTAGCATTAACAGTCGGAGTCAGACCCTGTGTGTTAGCAAAATATCTCTTAAGCTGCCTTTCACTGCCCGGTCAACCAAACAGTTGACCACATTTCAATTTCAAAGAAGACAGTAACCTAACTCCAACTGTTGGAGCCGTCTCCACCACCCAGTTAAAGTATGTAATGATAAGAAGAGCCAGCAGGTGGCGCTGTGACAGTCAACGGGAGGTTCATGTTTCCCATGTTCCCCTGCTGCAAACAGGAAGTCAAAAATCAGAACATCATGGCTGCCTTTAGGTAAACTTAAAACAGTATGGACACTTATTTTTACATATTTTGGTGATAAAGGCCTAACTAAATAGAATTATGACCCTTAATGTAGGAAAAAAACTAAAATTATATTTTAAATATTTTTTATAAATGTGCTTGACCAAACGGTTGATTTGTCAATTCATGGTATATGTAGCAAATTTAAGCTAATTAATTAAAAATAATAACTTATGACTGTTTAAGTGTTGGTACCTCATGAATATGCTGAAGATATTTTCCTGCTCCTTTTGATGCTTTGTAAGTTTAACTAAGTTACTGTGATTAAAATCGAGAAAACGTGTAGAAATAATCTGAATACTATCTTGATTAAATAAGACTAGATGGTGTACTTATACTACAAGCTCAGGTAGAAGTTGTTAATTAAAATTTAACTTTTTTAGTAAGTCTCACAAAATGAACAGTAAGGTATTGTATTAGAAATAATCATTGATTTGTTGTCATCGTTCACCCAAAGAAATAAGAAATGAAAAAGATGAATATTTTCATAGAGTTTGTCGTGGTATTAATGCGCTTCTACAACTGAATAATTTTAATAGATTTAATTCAAGATGGCCACAGCTTATTAAAATTAGGTTGCACAAAAATATCTATAACTCAATGAAATTTACAGAAACTGAAGTAAAATTTGATGTGGAGTTTTTCACGACGTCATGCATGATGTCCTGCATGATGTCATTTTCAAGACTTGTCTGAAATGGCCACACCTCTCGTCTCTCAGCAGAAGATGATCTTACTGTAAAGCTGTCATGGAAGCGGCGGGCGACATGCATTTCTTCATGGATTGCCAGGCCTGTCCTGTAAATGCTGACTGTGCTGCAGGCGTGTGCAGCAGCTGACGGGTGCGTCGGTGGTGAGTCATGACAGACTCAGGTTGGATCAAGACGTCCAAACTGAACTGAGCGCTCCCCGGCCGCCGCAGCCCTCGCGTCGTACTCAGACCAAGCTGTTCTCGTAGCGTTTGGACGTGTTTACTGCCATCTGAGACCAAATGTTAACGGGAAGGAGAGTTGTGGAGTTTTCTCTCCAAGTGTCAGGGAGGTTCTTGAGGTTTGTGTTTGAAGCAGCGCTCTCAGACTCTTGGAGAAACTTTAGGTTGAGGATGCTGCGTTCGGCTCTCCGCAACAATAGTTTGCATTAATGTCAAACTGTCAGCGTCGTGTTTCCTTTTCATGTTTTTTTTTTTTTCTGACTGCATCATTTCTGTAAATTCTTCAAATTTCAGAGAAATTGCTGCAGTTTTACTTTTATTTATTTATTTATTTAATCTCTGGGCCAATACAAGCCAGCACCAAAATGGCCACCCTTCAGTTTTACACACATTAAGCTTTGGTGTGCTCGTAACTGACAGTCACTCACAACATGCACGCCGAGCACTAACAGATCACACAGAATCCAGCGGGAACACGTGAGATCATGCAGGACGTCACGACTCAAGCAGCTGTGACTCTACGACTCTAAACTTTGTCGTTTTGCAATAAAAGATGAGAAAAATGAGAAAGATGACGGGCGTTCCATTCTACGTGGCTTTGGCCACCAGAGATTAATTTATGGATCGCCAAACACGCTGCCGCCCCCCCCCCCCCCCCCACACACACACACACAAGCAGAAAGTGGTAATAATAAACTACAGCACCGTCTGTAGATGTTACTTTGTTTGGATTTAAAAAAAGACGTTTTATTTTTAGGTGTTTATCTATTTTCAGCTAATCTGCATGTAGAGACGTGAGCAGAGCCCCAGAGCAGAAACAGAGCGCGTGTGTGTGTGTGTGTGAGTGTGTGTGTGTGTGTGTGAGTGTGAGTGTGTGTGTGTAAGAGAGAGAGAGGGACATTGAAAAATTGACGTTGTCATGAAGTCACATGACTGTGCTGAGTTTCCTTGGCGACAGCAGCGGTGTATGCTGAGATGCTCGCCTGCTCAGTTGAGGACAGATTAGGGATCTGGCAGCAGCAGCAGCAGCAGCAGCCGCAGCAGCAGCAGCAGCAGCAGCAGCAGCAGC